ACCAGTCCTCAGGCCCCTGATATCGGTAGGTGAAGACCCTGCTTAATGGGCAGAGCAGTGTCAAATGTCACGAACCTGCTACTTCACAGCCGAAACAGTTGAAGTTAGACTTCCGGTATATACCCTGTTGTACTTCAGCAATGAGGGCCTACGTTGCTGAAATGGGCCCACACAAGTCTCTGCAGGGGGAAAGGCACTCAAAGTCCGTGGATCCCTTATGCCTGTGCCTACGCAAAGGAACTGTGCCTACCCTGGGTTCCTGGCTTAGGGGAGCCAGCAGTTTATTTTTTCCCATTTGTTAATTTGTTCACTCTCCAAGGCCAGAAGGGCTCAGGGCATGTGACAGATCCCACTTCTGGTGCCGGGGACTCAGCAATTGCTGAAGCCAGTCCAGGACCCAGTGCAGAGCAGGGAGTGGGGAGGTAAATGGGAGAGAGGTTTTTCCCTAAGGGGGGTGTTTTTGACCCACGCGGTACTTATCTTTCGCTGGAACGAGGGCTACTTCTCACTGGTCCTAGGTGGTCGAGTAGATTCTCTGCCACTGGGTTTCTCCCGGTGCGGAATACTCCTCCTGAGCACTGCTGCTTGCCTGCCTCACCACTCACGCATGAACTGATCAGGCCTGAAGGGCTCAGGCTCTCACCTTCTCAGGTCTGGCACTCCTTGCTGCTTCCAAACCGTCTCTCCCTCCCCCTGCAACTCAGTCTGGTTCCTCAAGTTTGCCTTAGATGGTTAGGGCTCCTATATTATCATATTTAATCGATTTACTTGTATATTTGTGTCTTTGTTGTAAGAGGGTCCACCAGAAGCATCTGAGTATTCCGCCATCTTGGCCCTGCCTCTGCTCACAGGCTTTTAAGACCCCAGACACTACTCACCAAAGTAGAATGTAGAACATTTTCTTTATAATCTATGTTATGGCAGATGAGGTAGATGTTCCCTGAAACCATGGTCCCCAAAGCCCTCAGCCCAGTAATTTGGTCCCTCAGGGAGTTTGGATGTGTCTATGAAGCTTCCATGACATTGCCTTGTACAAGTTGTGCTGGATTCCCCAGTATTGTGTGCTGTCTGACCCTTCACTGAAGTATTCCTTATCTATTTGGTGTTTTTCCATCCCCACCCTTCCCTCTCTCATAAGCATCAAAGATTGTTTCTTTTTGCCTACGTAAAAGGAAATTAATACTGTTCTTCCTTGTCTTTTCCCACAGGTATAATAAAGAAAATTAAGAAATTTAAGTATCTCTCATTCAAAATCAAACTATATGCAGTACATAAAAACAAATACACAAAAAACTTGTACCACAAAAAAAGCTTTTCGTGAGTTTTGATAGTAGTGGTCTCATACAATATTTGTCCTTTTGTGATTGACTTATTTCACTCAGCATAATGCCCTCCAGACTTATCCATGTTGTGAAAAGTTTCACTGATTCAACCTAGAGTTTAGTAGGGGTTGCTAAGTAGTGACTTTCTAGTTCTGTCACTTATAGGTTAGTTTTTAAAAAGTTATGTATGTAGGTACATGTTTTTTGTGTATTTGTTTTTAGGTACTGCATATAGTTTGATTTTATGTAGGCAAAACTTAGTGACAAGAGAAGATAAATGATTTGGTTAGAACCTTTTTTCTCTTTTGAGATACAACGTAGTGAATTTCTTGAATTAAATTTGTTAACTAAGTTTCTAAACTTATAGCTGATTGCTAATTGCCCAGGTATTTTACTTACATAGTATAGGAACTATGCTGTGTTTTCCATTCAGTATGGTTTATCTTACTTGCCTTGTTAGTCCCTTTAAAAATTGATGGGTACTTTAGCTAATTAAACATATCCTATCATTCTTTGCTTTCAGATTCGAATAAAAGGGTCCCTTCCTTCCTTGAGTCCTTTCCCTCAGTCATTACTTGATTACTGTAAAGGAGGGATAGCATTCTTTAGACCTGGAGCAACTGGAGACCACAGGCTTGATGAAGTTTCCAATAAAGCAATAGGTTTGTGCCAAAATGAACTGCATGCTTAGAAATTAGGCTTAACTATGTATAATAATATATTTTACATTGGGTTTGGGAAAGTTTCCAAACTATTGTTACTTTTCAAAGTATAGCATGTTCTGTGATATTTTGCTTTGTGTTTACAAGCAAATGACTGTATTTTAATAGCCGTGAATATATATATATGTATTATATGTGTGGTTTTAAAGTAAGATTTTATTATTTTTTAAAAAAATTGTGACAAGTATGACATTATCATTGCTTCATTATTTAAATTTGGAATTTCAGCACTCAAGAATGCTTTTCGCTGGTAATTTTTCTGCACTTAGGATATTCTGTCAACCACTGAACCTGTCAGTATTGACTTACCAATTTTGTTTTCTGCTTTTCTAATTTAATATACTCCAATTAAGCTTTTTTTCTGTTTTGTAAACTTTTCATATCTGTTTATTTTAATGGCTTTTATTAGTGTACATGTTATAATTTACTTCTCTTATTGTACATTTGAGATGCCTCTGTGTATCAATTTCTGTTTTATATTTTTAAATATTCCCTTAATGTAGATTCTCAGAAGTGGGATTGCTGGGTCAATGGATATGCCTATTTTATATTCTTGAAATAGTATGCCAAATTTTATAATTCCTTCAGATTAATTTTAATGGGCAAAAAGATAATTTTAATATGTCTTTCTTTTGACTAGTTATAGTGAACATTTTAGTTTACTATTTGTATTTTCTCTTGTAAATTGCCTGTTTTGTGGTTTATATCCAGTTTTCTGTATATCAGGTTTAAAAAGAAGTAAAATTTTAGGTATCATTCTTCTTAATCTTTACTTCTTATCAGTCATATTTGTATTAAGCCCTGATCTTATCTCCAAAATTTGATTAAAATGTTCCTTTCTAACTCACCCGCCCTTAGTACCAGTGTTAAATAATATTCATCCTGGGGCTCAGACAGACTGATTTTCAAACTGTCTTGGCAGTAAAATGCTTTTTGATTGCTTCTTGCAGCTGTCATGAACTTAGTTTCATAAACTTTCCATTCGCCCTAACAAAAGAAAGAGCCGGGCAGGTGTCAACTGCAGGTATTTGTACAATTCTAGTTTATTTATTGAAAACCTGGATTTGTAAGCGGTGAGTCAAATTCACAAAGATCCCAGTTAAAAGATTTTTGCTTGTAAATAGAACATATAGTCCTTTGAAATGATTTAAATAAAGATTTCAAACATATATTTTTAGTAGTTTCATTTTGACCCTAACTGAGACCCACTATGAATTATTGTTTTAGTTGATTTGGTCTTTTGAGTATTGAGAAGTGATTTGGCCAGAGTAAAAGTTTCCTTTCCTAGTTTGTCATCTAAAATAGTGGCTTTTGAACTTTTTTGAAGCTTTTTATTCTAGGAAATTTAAACAAAAGTAGAGAAAATACAATGAACTCTCAAGTACCTATCACCCAACTGCAACTATTGTTAACGCTTGAAAGCAAATCTGAGACATCATATGATTTCACCCCAAAATACTTCAGTATATGTATTTAACAGATAAATAATTTTTTATAGTCACAATTCTATTAATCCGCCAGACAAAAAGTAGGAACAGTAATTCTTTAATATCATATATCATCCATTCTGTGTTTAAATTTCTTTGATTAGCTCAAAAATGTCTTTTCACAATTATTTTTTCAAACCTGGGCCCAAATAAAGTTCTCCACACATTGCATTTTGGTTAATATGTAAGTGTTGCTTAATCTGTAAAAGGTTCCCTCCCCTCATTTTTTTCCATGGCATTTATTTATTGAGAAAACCAGATCATTTTTCCAGTAGAACCCCTTCCATTCTGGTTTTAATTGATTACATCTTTTTAGTGTTCAGAACTTTTTTGACGATGACTTACAATAAGATGAAGATTTTTGCATCAAGACTCAGTACATACTCATATAAAACTGGAATGAAAATTTAATGAACTATCCTTATCCTGACTATGTTCAATGCACTCTTTTTTTAAAAAAAAACATTTTATTGTGCTTTAGGTGAAGATTTACATAACAAATTAATTTTCCATTTGATGATTTCTTACACAGATGGTTTCATGATCTTGGTTGCAATCCCCTGAGTGTGTCAGCACTCTCCCCATATACTCCCTGGGTTCCCCATTTTCATTAGTCTAGTTTCTCTGTCCCTCCCTATATTCTCATCATTGGTTTTGGACTCAGCGCACTCTTGATATTTTCTGTTTTTAAAAATTGTTGAGACGTACTGAATTGATTTTTCAGCCCAGTAATTTGTAATATGTTGTAACCCACAGCTTGAATAACAATGATAAGGAATATTTTTAGAAGATAAGTACCTGCTTGGGACGGGGGTCTGGGGACCATGGTTTCAGGGGACATCTGGGTCAATTGGCATAACAAAGTTTATTAACAAAATGTTCTGCATCCCACTTTGGTGAGAGGCATCTGGGGTCTTAAAAGCTAGTGAGCGGCCATCTAAGATGCATCAATTGGTCCCAACCCACCTGGAGCAAAGGAGAGTGAAGAACACCAAAGACACAAGGAATATATTAGCCCAAGAGACTGAAAGGGCCACATAAACCCGAGACTCCATCAGCCTGAGACAAGAAGAACTAGATGGTGCCCGGCAACCACCAATGACCGCCCAGACAGGGAACACAACAGAGAGTCCCTGACAGAGCAGGAGAAGAGTAGGGTGCAGAACTCAAATTCATGTGAAAAGACCAGACTTAATGGTCTGACTGAGACTAGAGGGAACCCCAGGAGACATGGCCCTTGGACTCTCTATTAACCCAGAACTGAAGCCATTCCTGAAGCCAGCTCTTCAGACAAAGATTAGACTGGACTATAAAACAAAATGATACTCGTGAAGAGCATGCTTCTTAGTTCAAGTAGATACATGAGACTAAATGGGCAGCTCCTGTCCGGAGGTGAGATGAGAAGGCAGAAAGGAATAGGAGCTGGTTGAATGGACACACAAAATCCAGGGTGGAAAGGGGGAGTGTGCTGTCATATTATAGAGATAACAACTATGGTCACATAACAATGTGTGTATAAATTTTTGTATGAGCAATTAACTTGAGCTGTTAACTTTTGCCTAAAGCACAATTAAAAAAAAAAAAAAAGAAGAAGATAAGTACCTGCCTAATATGCTGGTCTATATCACTGATTGCTCTGTATCACTGATTCTTGGTTTTAGTTCTGTCCCAGCAAACCTGTGAAATAGGAAACAGTGAAACATGTTCAGCAGTAATAGTGGCTTTCTCAAAAGATTGGGCCATGCTCCACTGGTAGGACTTATTAGAATCTAGTGAATGGTTCGGGGCGTAATTTGAAAAATGCTTATAGGTGATTCTGAAATACCACTGCCCATCTGCATTCCCTCTCCCCCCCTGAGCTGGATAGAATTTGGAGAAAACCTATTTTCTGCTCAGTTTTTATAATGTCAAAACATACTTTCTGGCTTTTTGATAGTTGTTTAAAAAATATATATCAAGGAGCTGTCTAATGAAAATTAAAATACTAACCATTAATTTTAAAGCCAGTTTACTATAAAAAATAAAGCTTACTTTAAAATAAAGGCTTAAATGAACGTCCATTAAGTTTTAAGGGATTACCTTGCTCCCTCCATAGGAAGAGATCCTATTAACCTCAGAACAAGTGAGTAGAGAGGATAGGTCTTACTTGATGGGCCACACTTTAGTCGTTATAAGAGAAATTAAATATAAGATTAGCAGAACAGCAGAAACTTTTTGTCGGCTGGATTGTGAGTCCTTGCATTGTGCATAGTTAAATCAAGATCATCCACTTATTGATGGCAATAAAAAGACTTTGTATGTTTATAGTTGGAGCCCTGGTGGCACAGTGGTTAAGATTTCAGACTGCTAAGCAAAACGTCGGCAGTTCAAATCTACCAGCCGCCCCTTGGAAATCCTATGGGGCAGTTCAGTTCTGTCCTATAGGGTCGCTATGGGTCAGAATTGACTCAGTGGCACACAACAACATTTGTATTACCACCATGGAAAGATAGTGAAGTTATATTAGGTAAAAAAAAGTCTCTTTGCTACACAGTGTACATGGTATGATTATATATATATTTGTGTACTTGTATTGCTCTTAGTATAAACATATTATTTAATATTGCAAATTATTTTTTTAATACTGAAAAAACTTAAACAAATACTTGTCAATAAATGATTTACCAAATAAGTTAACTACACATTAGAATAATATAGAGTTATATGTATTGGCTTTGAAAAATATTCACAATATATTGTGAAGTTGTAAAGCAAGTAATCAAATAATTAATAAAGTTAATTACATGCGTAAAAGTTCTAGAGGGATGTCCATGACTTTTACATAAGATGTTTACAATGAGCACTTCTTTCTTTTATAGTCTAGAAAATAAAGACATCAGCTGAGGTGGGGATGTTATTAATGTACATGCTTATACAACTTTATTTCCTATCTGTATACCTGATCTAGGTTGCTTCAGAGAACTTTGTGCTTTGTGTTGGATGCTGCATATCCGTGAAAAGTTATCCTATAGTTGCAGGCAATATCAGAAAGCAAGAGAAAATGTGGGGAAAGAAAAGGTATTTACCTGGATGAGAATATTACCTGGACGAGAATAAGAAAAATGAACAGACATTATGTACTTGCAAAATTATTGCATAATAGAAGATTTTACTGTTCAAAGGTTTTCTTTTTAAACTCATTCTAATCTATCCATTTAAACTGAAAAGGAAATGCATTTTTTTCAATATCCATTTAGGACTTTGAAGTGGAGTTTGATTCTTGTATGATTGAGTATTGTCTTAGTGCTGTGGAATGGGCTTATAGAATGCTACCTTTCTCTCGATTTTTGAATATTGAAGAACTTATTCAGGATATAATTTTGAGCCTTATTGGAGAACTGCCACCAATCAGAAAGGTAGGTGAAAATAAACTAAATCAGAACCAGAGATTTTAATTTTATTTTTAATTAAGAATGATGTCTCTCATAAAACTCATTTTTTAATTTTTTTGAAGGTAGCGGAAATTTTCGTGAAGGCGTTTCCCAATCCTGAGGACATAAGGGTTCCTTTAAGAGAAAAATATCACTGTCTTCAGCAGAGACTCAGACACTGTGTTGTGCAAGGTATTATTTGTCATTTTTTTACATATCCGGTAAATTGCTGAAGGTTCTTGTTTTGTTGCTGCTATTTGCACGGTTTATCTTTTTCTATCTTTCTACTTTCAATCTGTTTGTATCTTTGACTCTAAAGTGTCTCCTGTAGACAGTAAATAGCTGGGTCTTGATTTTTCATCCAGTCTGACACTTTCTGCCTTTTGATTGGATTGTTTAATCCATTCATATTTAATGTTCTATTAATATAGTTGAATTTATGTTTGTCATTTTTGTTTTCTATGTGTCTCATGTCATTTTGTTCCTCTCTTCTTCCTTTACGGCTTTCTTTTGCATTAAGTGAGCATTTTCTAATGGAAAAAATAGTAGTCATTCTTTTTATGATTATCCTTTTGATTTTTGAAGATGGATGACTTCTTAATTTTTCTTTTTCCAGAGCACACTTTTAATGGGGTCTAGGTTCTGTCCCTTTCACTGTTCTTTAATGGACCCTCACTAGCTTCTGCAATTCTCCTCTAAAATATGAATTTTCTATTAAATACTAAAGATAGTGTGATCTGTAAGATGCTAAAAATCAGCCTCAGTCATGTGACCAGGAGGAACTAGAATTGGATTCTCATATGTCTTAGGTTGAAACATTTTAATGAGCTATAAGATTTTTTATTCTTTTCTTTTTAGGTCCCCAAACTGAGGAAATGATGTCTGTTACCATGCATTCTATCCATAAAGTGAGGGTTAAAGCTCTAAAGCGTGTGTGGAGAAATATAGGCCCTTTTGAGACGAATATATGGGAACCGATTGAAGAAGAAAAACCAGATGATGCTCCAGTTTTTGACAGGTTTTCCCTGGGGACTAGTTTGAGCAGGAGTACACTCACAGAACTGGGGAATTCTCTGGTTCACAGTGATGCAGATACAGTAGATACTTTATCTGAAGCTTTGTCAGTGGAAGAAAAAAATAGGATACATTCCTATCAAAGGTACAATTGAGTTCTCTTGATAACTAGCATTCACATCCTTTGAAAAAAATGTTTTTCGATATTTATATGCAATTGTTGAGCTGATTTCTAGTCCCAGCAACCCTCACTGACTGTACTGTGACTAATATGAATGATAAATGCTGCTCTCTACTCATGAGGACATTAGGGGTATAAAATGAGACTGTACTTTTGAAAATCCTTTTTAAGTATTATTGAGATAGGAAATAAGTTTGCTATCTAAAATTATAAAACAAATGAGTAGATAAATTCTAGAGGCCACTGGAGGACGTTAAGTATTTTTAGTAGTCTTTAGACATAAATAGTTTGAGATTATTGGATTAACCATATCATTTTTAAGGGTTTCATCTTTGAAATGTGTCCATAAATTTTTTGGAAATTCTTGCTTATCTAAATCTGTGTTACTGTTACATTTTTTTCTTTATAATTTCAGTATCTACAGTACTATTTATCCTTCTCTTGACTAAAAGATTGTATAATCAACCATATTCATAAGTGAAGTAATCCCAACCACTCCAAGTATCTGCTTAAGCCGTATATAATAGCATTATAAATGTTGTGCTTGTTTCAGAAAACAACAGTGCTTAAATGTTAGCATAGGCTTACCCTGAAAGCTGCATATTGTACATTCTTAGTAAAAAGAGAGATGATGTTGTCAACCTAGATACCTAACATGAAACTTTCATTTCTCTTCTTGAGGGAGCTAAGCATCTGTGCTCTGCCCTAAGGAGCACGTTGAAAGAAAACAGATTTAAAAGTAATTTGGGTCAGTAGTTAAGTGTTAAAAGTTTAATAGCAGCTTTAATTGCAGCTGAAAGTATTTAGAAAAAGTTTTCAACATTTTTATGGAAAAGAATCCTGAGGGCATTCTTCTTGTTGTAAATGGTATAATGGTTGCTGAGAGAGGCAGACATGAGGGAGAAACAAGAAAGCCAAAACTAAGATGTGTGTTGGTAGCTTGTGTTTTCATTAACTTTGTATTTCTAAACTTGCGTCTATAAGAAAACATTTTTTCAGAACAACATTCATGCTCTTTTATAGTGAAATTTGCATGAACACACGTGTATTTTCCCTTTTGATATTAATGTGTTGTATTTTTGGCATCATAGAATGTTGAGCGCTAAAAAACACTTTTAGATCAGTTAGTCCAGTACCTCATTTACTTATTTTTTAAATTTTATTATTGTTTTTGGTGAAAATATACATAGCAAAGCATACACCAATTCATTAATTTCTACATGTACAATTCAGTGACAGTGATTATATTTTTCAAGTTTTGCAACCATTCTTGCTGTCCTTTTCCAAATTATTCCTCCACTATTAACATAAACTCACTTCCCCCTAAGTGTCTTTTTAAAAATGTTTTTTATTGTACTTTAGATGAAGGTTTACAGAACAGATAGTTTCTCATTAAACAGTACACGTATTGTTTTATGACACTGGTTAACAACCCCACGACATGTCAACACTCTCCTCTCGAGCTTGGGTTCCCTATTACCAGCTTTCCTGTCCCCTTCTGCCTTCTAGTCCCTGTCCCTGGGCTGTTGTGCCCCATTAGTCTCATTTTGTTTTATGGGCCTGTCTAGTCTTTGCCTGAAGGGTGAACCTCAGGACCCCCTAAGTGTCTTATCTAGCCTTTTGAGTTGTTGTTGTCAGTTTGATCCCATATGGATAATTCTTTTTAAAAAGCACAGTGCTCAAGGCAGACATTCTTTACTAGTTAATCTAAATCATTAGTTGGTTTAAAGAAGACTTCAGGGGTTATTAGTTATTTTTGGTTTAAGGTTTAAAGATTATCTCAGGGCAGTGATTTCGGGGGTTCATGCAGCCTCAATGGCTCCAGGAAGTCTAGATTCCATGAGAATTTGAAATTCTGTTCTTCGTTTCCCCGTTTTGTTCAGGATTTTTCTTTAGAATTTTTGATCAACATGTTCAGTAATGGTATCTGGGCACCATTCTTCTGGTCTCATACCAAAGGAGGTAGTTTTTTCTGGAGGCAATTAGCCACCCATTCTGTTTCCTCCTCCTGTTCCTGAGTCTCCTTGTTCCTCTGCTGCTCTAGGTGAATAGACTGATTGTTGTACCTTGGATAGCTACTTGTAAGCTTTTAAGACCCCAGGCACTACACAGCAAACTAGGAGGTAGAACAGAAGCAGCTAAAAATGATATTAGGCCAATTAACTGAGATGTCCCATGAACCATGACCGTAAACCTCCAAACCAAGAAAACAAATCCCATGAGGTGTTTGGTTGCACATAAGTAGCATTAACAGCTATTCTTTTTTGTTGTTGTTGTTGTGAAAATATATATCACACAACATTTGCCAGTTCAGCTTTTTTCAGGTGTATAGATTAGTGACATCAATTACTTTAATCAATTGTACAACCCCAGTCCCTCATTTAAAAGATAATGGAGGCACAAAAAAAGGTAGATGACTTAATCACTGGAGAGAATATTTATTGTCTGTTCAAAGATGGATTTTAGTGATTAAATGATTTTTTAATTTTTTCAATTTTGTTCTGCTATAGAAATGCCCCAGGTCACATGGAATTAACATTGATTGGTAAGCACAGTGAAAAAAAGAAAATATATAATCAGAAAGAAGATTCTAAAAGTAAAGAAGATCATGAAAAGTCATCACAAAATGCAGTTCCTGTAATAGGTGTTTGGGAATTTGAACGTGATGATGATGAATATATTAAATTCCTTGATCTCTTCTTGAGTTATGTTCTTGAAAGAGACTTACTTGGTTCCTGTGATCCTGGTATTCCATTTTTAACCAGTTTTTCTTCTCATCTTAGAGAACATGAACTTAATTCTTTAGTTTTTGATGTGCATACAACATTAAAACGACGTCAGGGCAAAACCAAAAGCCAGAATGTGTTCAGAGCTGGCTCTTGCTTTGTGGTTGCTCCTGAATCATATGAATCTGAAAACTCATCCTCTTTAAACAATGAATGTGCCGTACGTTTGGAAAACCGGGCACTTTCTGCTTCAGTAGTGGTTAATCAAGGCATCAGACCTTGTGTAGAGAACCCTTTGAATGAAGTCAATAAAAATGAAGCAAAGAGTGGATTGTTTGGTTTAAAACAAAAGTCAATTTACAGAATGCAAAATGACAACCGAGAGAAGCCTCTAGTCCACAGATTGTCGACCTACGCTTTTTGCACTCCCAATTCTGTTAAAACCAGATGTCTTTTCAAAGCAATTCAAAGCAATGATCTTAACCCTCAAGAAGATCTTCCTGTAGCACTAAGTAATACATTTGGGAATATAAGAAGGTTGCTGGAATGGATGATAAGATGGTCTGATAGAAGACTGCTCTGTGATTCTAATATCACTAAGTCATCCTGGGAGTACGGTCCAGTAATTCGTGTAAAGACCTCTACAGCTGCCGTTCTTACATCATTATGGCTTTTAGGACAACCCTATTTTCCTACATATAAAGCAAAAAATGCCATTATTAAGGTAAGTGCGTGAATTGTTTATCACATAAAAATGAAGTTTCTTGTTTTAAATTAAAAATATGTTTATCAAAGAATCACTAAGTAACTGAAAGTTAATTTCAGTGTTGATTATCATCTGTTTCACCTGGGGCTTTTTTTTTATAATTTTTTTTTCCTTTTTCTTGGTTCCTTTAATTCTTAAAAATAAACTAGTGAAAGTGCTGTGAGGTTTTGAGACTTTGTGTGTCTTTAAGGGAAGAAGATAATTTTAGGTGACTTTAATAGTGATATTACATTTATATTACTTCTAAGTTTCAGGTTTGCTTTAGATGAAGAAAGACTAAACCTGAAACCAAACCCGTTGTTATCGAGTCAATTCTGACTCATAGCGACCCTAGAGGACAGAGTAGAACTGCCCCATAGGGTTTCCAAGGCTGTCATCTTTATGGAGGCAGACTGCCATATCTTTTCCTGCAGAGCGGCTGGTAGGTTCAAACCGCTGACCTTTTGGTTAGCAGCCAAGGGTTTAACCACTGCATCACCAGGGCTCCTCTAAGACAAACGAGTCAGTTATTAAGTTTTTATTATTGGTATCTACTCACATGTATTAGGGGATCATCTTACTTGTACTCTCTGGCCAGAAGAGGTTGGAGAACCAAACCTAGAAAGGCAGATGTGTGTCAGTAGATGAGTTAGTTATTTATTAGCTATTTGTTCTTTTCTCTAGTCAATAGCAAGTAGCAGTCTGCTCTTTTAACTATTTTCAAGAGTATTTTTTGCATAAAATAATTTCTGATTGTGTAGTTGCTGCTGCAACTCACAAAAAGAGAAATATAGATAAACTTCTTGGAAAACAAATTTTTTTAGTTTTCTTAATATGCGTGGCAGAATAGTTGGGATGGGGCATTTTTTAATACTTGGAGAATTTCAGTAGTATCTAAATTAGTTCTGTTTCAATGTGCTTTCATTCTTAAATAGTTTATTCTAGATTGAAGGGTGTGAAGTTTTCATGTGTATGAGTTTTTGTGGGTTTTTTTTTTAAACCAGTTTCTGTTATCCTAAGGTAGTTTATCTGATACTGTGATATTTGTTATTGAAATTTGTAAGTAGTTCTAGGGAATTCCTACGTACATTTCTGAGTAAGCGACAGATGGGATATCCTTTGTATTCTAAGTAAGCGACAGATGGCATATCCTTTGTATTTTCAGCTGTGTGTATTTTTGCTCACTATTTATACCATTCTTAAAATAATTACTAAGTATCATTATAATAGCAAAGAGAATGAAATGAAAGTAACATTACATTGTTATCAAGGCTTGGAACCGGTTCTTTTTTTCTCTTGGTTTAACTCCCTGCTGAGAATTTGCATTTCTAACAAGTTCCCATGTGATGCTAATGCTGCTGGTTAGGGCTGAGAACCACCAGTAGAGCAGTAGTTCTCAAGATTTATTATACATAAGAATCACCTGGGGATCTTGTTAAAATGTAGATTCTGATTTAGTATATCTGGGGTGGAATCATTAACACTGCCTGGGAACTTGTTAAGAATGCAAATTCTCAGCAGGAGGTTGAACCAGAACAAACTGGTTGGAAGTTCTGATTTTTATTGCCGTTGTTTTGTGGTTTGAAAACAGTGGCAATATACCTTACAAATTTGTAAGGCTGATTGTTTTTTTTAATACTATTTAGGTAGTCAGAGTTTCCTTTTCCAGGTAAAATAAAGACTTGCTTATTGCTTCAGCAACAAATATTGGGTAGTAGTAATACAGTAAATACTTGATAAATGAATAAGAATGAATCAGGAGAAGTTCTGTAGATGTGAATAATTTTAAAATATGAGGAAAAATAAGGAGTTCAAAAATGAATACTAAGTACTATAAATGGTTCATTTTAGGTTCTGGAGAATCATTACTCTAGGTCTCAGACTGGACCCAATATTGACAGTAAGAGCAAAACAGATGCTGGCTCTTCAGTTGCTATATCAACTCAAGGTGTAGCTAAGGAAAGAAATGATCAAAATGAATCTTGTCAGAATATCTTGAAGTAAGTTGTTGATTATACCCTGTCTTTCAATAGAATATACCTGGCTTGATGATGTTTGGGCTTCAGTGGGAGAACTGAACCCTTGAAAGTTAAAGGAATGAGCATTTCTTTGAATTAGAAGAGCAAGAAGTGAGCATTTTCTGAATTGCTGTAACAATTCATTGCAAATTATGTTTCTTCCCTATTGATCTATCTGGTATATTCAAGAGCGGAGCTAATATATCCTGCAAGTTCCATTTATTTATTTATATTAATTTATTTCCTGTGTTAGAGGAAGCTGAACTAGTAATTTCATCCATTTGTACATATGAAGTAACACTATGAGTAGTACGTTTTTGAACACCAATGCCAAAGCCCTTATAGCAGGAAAATTCCTTTGTGAGACTGGCATAGAATTTAGATAAGTTGAAATTATTCTAATCCTTTGAGTAAATAGAAACTAGGATGTTGAGTCGTTCATTGAGCTTCTAGTATGTACCACGTATGATAAAAAAAGAGACTTTGTTTTTATAAATATGAAAACTAAATTCTTTGTTTTCAAAAACCAAATGAAATGAAAGTGAACTCTTTTTCTCTAAGAATGGGTTATAATTTTAGCTGCTGCATTTTTGTCCATAGAATGCCACCTGAAGCAAAAAAACTTGAATTAAAAGAAACCAGTGATGAGTTTATTTCTGTCACTCATAATCCTGAAAAAGAACTTAGAAATATTGATGAGGATCTTGTAGAAGAAGTAGAAGCATTCGCACAGGAGAAAATGGATATGAACATATCAGACTATGAAGGTCAGTTCATTTAGATAATTTTCTTTGGCTTTATTAATTGGATATTGATGAATAATGATTATCTATGATAACCACACATCTGTCAGTTTGTCCTACTATTGTGACTTGCGTGTTGCTGTGATACTGGAAGCTTTGCCATCGGTGTTTCAAATACCAACATGGTCACCCTTGGTGGACAGGTTTCGGCAGAGCTTTTGGACAAAGACAGACTAGGAAGAGGGACCTGGCAGTCTACTTCTGAAAAAACTGGCCAGTGAAAACCTTACGAATAGCAGTGGAACATTGTCTGATATAGTGCTGGAAGATGAGCCCCTCAGCTTGGTAGGCACTCACTACTGGGGAAGAGTGGCCTCCTCAGTAGAGATGACCTTAATGACGTGGATGGAGTAAAGCTTTTGGGACCTTCATTTGACGATGTGGCACAACTCAAAATGAGAAGAAAACAGCTGCAAACATCTATTAATAACTGGAATGTGGAATGTACGAAGTATGAATCTAGGAAAATTGGAAGTCATCAAAAATAAAATGGAATGCATAAAGATCGCTTATCATAGGTGTTAATGAGCTGAACTGGATTGGTAGTGGCCATTTTGAATCAGACAATCATATGGTCACTATGCTGGGAATGACAAATTGAAGAGGAATGATATCATGTTCGCCATCAGAAAGAACATTTCAAGCTCTATCCTGAAATACAGTGCTGTCAATGATAGGATAATATCCACACGTCTACAAGGAAGACCAGTTAATATGACTATTATTCAAATTTACTCACCAACCACTAATGACAAAGATGAGGAAATTGAAGAGTTTTACCAAATTCTGCAGTCTGAAATTGATCAAACATGCAATCAGGATGCATTGATAATTACTAGTGTTTGGAATGTGAAAGTTGGAAACAAAGAAGAAGGGTTGGTAGTTGGAAAATACACCCTTGGTGATAGGAACGATGCTGGGGATTGCATGATAGAATGTTGCGAGATCAGTGGCTTATTCATTTCAAATACCTTCTTTCAACAATGTAAATGGTGACTATACATGTGGGCCTCAATAGATGGAAAACACAAGAATCAAATCAACTACATCTGTGGAAAGAGATGATGGAAAAGTTCAATACCATCTGTCAGAACAAGACTGGGGCCAGCTGCGGAACAGGTCATCAATTGCTCGTGTGCAAGTTTAAGTTGAAGCTGAAGAAAATTAAAACTGGTTCACGAGAGCCAAAACAAGACCTTGAGTATATCCCACCTGAATTTGGAGACCATCTCAAGAATAGATTTGATGCACTGAAGACCAATGATTGAAGACCAGAAGAATTGTGGGATGACATCAGGGACATCATACATGAAGAAAGCAAAAGGTCATTAAAAAGACAAGAAGAAAGAAAAGACCAAAATGGGTCAGAAGAGACTCTGAAACTTGCTCTTGGACTTAGAGTAGCTAAGGCGAATAGAATGATGAAGTAAAAGAGCTGAGCAGAAGATTTCAAAGGGCAGCTCGAGAAGACAAAGTAAAGTATTATAATGAAATGTGCAAAGACTGGGAGTTAGAAAACCAAAAAGGAAGAACACAGTCAGCATTTCTCAAGCTGAAATACCTGAAGAAAAAATTTAAGCCTTGGGTTGCAATTTTGGAGTATTCTATTGGCAAAATATTGAATGACATAGGAAGCATCAAAAGCGGATGGGAGGACTATAGAGTCACTGCACCCAAAAGAATTGGTTGACATTCAGCCATTTCAGGAGGTAGCATGTGATCAACAACTGATGGTACTGAAGGAAGAAGTTCAAGCTGCACTGAAGGCATTGGCAAAAAACAAGGCTTCAGGAATTTGTGGAATACCAATTGAGATGTTTCAACAAAAGGATGCAGTGTTGAAAGTGCTCACTTGTCTCTACCAAGAAATTTAGAAGACAGCTACCTGGTCAACCGACTGGAAGAGATCCATAATTTTGCCCATTCCAAAGAAATGTGATCTAACAGAATGCAGAAATTATCAAACAATGTCATTAATGTCACACGCAAGCAAAATTTTGCTTGAAGATTATTCCGAAGCAGTTACAGCAGTACATGGATAGGGAACTGCCAGAAATTCAAGCTGGATTCAGAAGAGGACGTGGAACAAGGGATATCATTGCTGATGTCAGGCGGATCTTGGCTGAAAGCAGAGAATACCAGAAAGATGTTTACGTGTGTTTTATTGTCTATGCAAAGGCATTCGACTGTGTGGATCATAACAAATTATGAATAACATTTTGAAGAATGAGAATTCCAGAACACTTAATTGTGCCCATGAGGAACCTGTACATAGACTAAGAGGCAGTCATTCGAACAGAGCAAGGAGATACTGCATGGTTTAAAATCAAGAAAAGTGTGCATCAGGGTTGTATCCTTTCACCATATTTATTCAGTCTGTATGCTGAGCACATAATTCGAGAAGCTGGACTAGATGAAGAAGAACGTGGCATCAGGATTGGTGGAAGTTTCATTAACAATGAGATGACACAACCTTGCTTGCTGAAAGTGAAGAGGACTTGAAATACTTACTGATGGAGATCGAAGACTATAGTCTTCTGTATGGATTACACCTCAACATAAAGAAAACAAAAATCCTCACAACTGGACCAATAAGCAGCATCATGATAAACTGAGAGAGTATTGAGGTTTTCAAGGATTTCATTTTACTTAGATCCACAATCAACACCCGTAGAGGTAGTAGTCAAGAAATCAAACGACATATTGCATTGGGCAAATCAGCTGCAAAAGACATGTTTGAAGTGTTAAAAAGCAAAGATGTGACTTTGAGGACTAAAGTGCAACTGACCCAATCTATGATATTTTCATTCACCTCATATGCGTGCAAAAAGCTGGACAATAAATAAGGAAAAACCAAAGAGGAATTGATGCGTTTCAATTATGGTGTTGGCAAAGAATATGGACTATACTATGGGCTGCCAGGAGAATGAACAAATGTTTTGGAAGAAGTACAGCCACAGTGCTTCTTAGAAGAGATGATGAGGAGACTTTGTCTCACTTACCTTGGACACGTCATCAGCAGGGACCAGTCCCTGGAGAGAGACATTATGTTTGCTGAAGAAGAGGGTCAACGAGAAAGAGAAAAACCCTCATCGGGATGGATTGATACAGGAGCTGCAACAATGGGCTGTAGCATAGCAACGATTGTGAGGATGGTGCAGGATTGGGCAGTGTTTCATTCTGTTGTATGTAGGATCGCTATCAGGTCTGACCTGATGGCAGCTGACAGCAACAAGCCCTTTTACAATTATTGAGCCTCTTGCCTTACATATGTAATTATTATAGATCTCTTCATTTCTGTGAACTAACTCTATGAAATTCCTGTAAGACTTCCTTAAAACAGGAACTGTTAAAGTACAGAAACTCTTAGAGCTTTACAGGGTTATACACACACAAGGCCACCGAAGCTCATCTGTGATTCACCTGATGAAGAGGAGATAGTGTTTCTAAAAATATTTTTGTTAGAAGGATAGAAAATATTTCTGCCATTTAAATTTTCTTCTGTAATTTTCCTTGAACCTTCTAAACAGTCAGTAGATTATTTTTCATGTGGTCAGTTTTCTCTTTCTCTTGTGTTTCCCTGTAGAAAACACCAAAGAACTCATTGAAAGCCTCAAAAATCCCAGTATTGCTATTTGCATGCATACTTTACCACAGAATTCAGAAGAAGTAAGTCAATCATTAGTGGATAAAATTATTCAACTTTTGTCTACTATTTAAATTATCCTTAAGTGTTTTAATTCACTGTTATTCAATACATCATGTTATCTCTTAAAAGTGGACTATGGAATATAGCCATGCCATGCAGCATTTGTCTTTCACTAAAATTTTACTCTTGCCAAAATGTCTAATAATTTAAGGCAAATAAATTTTCATTTCATAAACCACTTTAGTAAGTTAACCTAACCAAGAGTTGTGAAAGCGTCCTTTATTCAAAAAGTGTAATTCAGCTAATAATGTGCAGTTTTTGTACATATATACACTTTTATGTATTATTAGTGTTCTCAGAACTTTAACTATACACTGAATTTGCAGGTAGGACATAGCCATTTTTAATTATTGAAAAAATTGTTTAAAAAGGATTAGTTTTTCCTAATTTATAGTTGTTTTCACAGAGTAATCATGTAGTGATGGGTATATATAATTTATAATGTATTAGTTTACTAACATCATCTTGTCTTTGTACTTTCTTATGCTCAATGAAAGGTGATGGGCCAGAGGCAATTCATCCAATATAAGGATCTTGTTAGAACAGGACTGGGAGTACATTTTAATGTTTGATTTCTCACTTGATTTTGTATTGTTATTCTAGATGATGTGAAATGTGAAATTCAAAGTATGTGAGACAGTAATACCTATTTGTTCCACGGTTTTCTATTTTGGGTACTATTAATTTTAACAGCATTCCACAGGAGAGGTTCAGTGTTCAAGTGAAGAACCGTTGGAGACATATATAGAGAAAAACTCAACTGAGCCGAAAAGGTAAGGAGGAAAACAGTATGGAAATGATCATAACTGGATTGTTTACCTCACTGAAGCTTTCAGCTTTTTTCATAATTTACAGTATGTATTTATTGGTGCAATTGTGTTTCTAATGAAATTGTAACTTCAATTTATAACAATGGTATAAATGATTTAATGATACCTAAAATGCCTGAACAGAAGGTTTCAAAGGGTGGCTCGAGAAGACAAAGTAAAGTATTGACATGTGCAAAGACCTGGAGTTAGAAAACCAAAAGGGAAGAACACACTTGGCATTTCTCAAGCTGAAAGAACTGAAGGAAAACATCCAGGCCTTGGGTTGCAATATTGAAGGATTCTATGGGAAAAATATTAAATGATGCAAGAAGCATCAAAAGAAGATGGAAGGAATACCCAGAGTCATTGCACCAAAAAGAATTGGTCAAACCCAAGGTTGAGAAGGGGTGTTGACATGTCGTGGCGTTGTTAACCAATGTCATAAAACAGTATCTGTACTAACTGTTTAATGAAAAGCTTTTTTGTTCTGTAAACCTTCATCTAAAGTACAATTGAAAAAAAAAGGAGAAAAAAAAAAAAGAATTGGTCAGCATTCACCCATTTCACGAGGTAACATATGATCAGGAACTGATGGTACTGAAGGAAGAAGTCCAAGCTGCAATGAAGGCACAAAGAACAAGGCTCCAGGAATTGACGGAGTACCAACTGAGATGTTTCAACAGATGGATGCAGCACTGGAAGTGCTCAGTTGGTCTATGCCAAGAAGTTTGGAGGACAGCTGCCTGGCCTACACACTGGAAGAGACTCATATTTGTGCCTTTCCCCAAGAAAGGTGATCCAACTGAAGGCAGAAATTATCGAACAGTATCATTAATATCACACCAAGTAAAATTTTGCTGAAGATCATTCAAAGGCGGCTGCAGCAGTATATTGACAGAGAACTGCCAGAAATTCAAGCCGGATTCAGAAGAGGATGTGGAAACAGGGATATCATTGCTGATGTCGGATGGATCCTGACTGAAAGCAGAGAATACCAGAAAGGTGTTTACCTGTGTTTTATTGACTATGCAAAGGATCATGGCAAATTATGGATAACATATCAAGGAATGGAAATTCCAAAACACTTGATTTGTTCATGAGGAACCAGTACTTGGATCAAGAGGCAGTCATTGGAATAGAACAAGGGGATACTGCGTGGTTTAAAGTCAGGAAAGGTGTGCGTCAGGGTTGTATCCTTTCACCATACCTATTAGGTCTATTCTGAGCAAATAATCCAAGAAGCTGGACTATACGAAGAAGAGCGGGCCATCAGGATTGGAGGAAGACTCATTAACAGCCTGCGTTATGCAGATGACACAACCTTTCTTGCTGAAAGTGAAGAGGACTTGAAGCACTTACTGATGAAGATCAGACACCACAGTCTTCAGTATGGATTATACCTCAACATAAAGAAAGCAAAAATCTTCACAACTAGACCAGTAAGCAACATCATGATAAATGGAGGAAAGATTAAAGTTGTAAAGGGTTTCATTTTACTTGCAACCATGATCAATGCCCATGGAAGCAGCAGTCAAGAAATCAAAAAATGTATTGCATTGTGCAGATTTGCTGCAAAAGACCTCTTTGAAGTGTTGAAAAGCAAAGATGTCACCTTGAAGACTAAGGTGCACCTAACCCAAGCCCTGGTGTGTTCAGTTGCCTAATATGCCTGTGAAAGCTGGACGATGAATAGGGAAAATCTGACACCTTTGAATTGTGGTGTTGGAGAAGAATATTGAATATACCATGGACTGCCAAAAGAGCGAACACATCTGTCCTGGAGGAAGTATGACCAGAATATTCCTTAGAAGCAAGAATGGTGAGACTTTGTCTCACATGCTTTGGGCATGTTATCAGGAGGGATCAGTACCTAGAGAAGGTTATCATTCTTGGTAAAGTAGAGGGTCAGTGAAAAAAAGGAAAGCCCTCAAGGAGACAGGTTGACACAGTGGCTGTAACAGTGGGCTGAAGCATTACAACTCTTGTGAGGGTGGTTCAGGATGGGATGGTGTTTTGTTCTCTTGTACATAGGGTCACTGAGTCAGAACCGACTCAGTGGCACCTAACAACAAGAAAATACCTTTTATTCTCCCATCCTTATCAGCCTTATCAAAATAAAGTATAGCTTTAAATAGAACAAAGTTTATTCAGCTGCTAATCAGGGAACCACCTTTCCATTTTTATTGAATCAAATGAAGAACAGTTATGAGACATATGCAGACTTTCACTTAAACACTCTTATAGTTTGATTACTGCATACTGTCAAGTAGGACTATGATGTGAATGTACTCTGCAAACCTGCCTGTATTGCTTCAAGGAGAGCGGAAGGCAGCTCTTTTATTTTTTTGTAGTTTGGATATGATTTCTTAATTTTTGGAATTTTAGAATTTTTGAATTACCTTGGGTAAGAGAGGCAACATAATCAGATTTTCTGGTATACAAGTTTTGTCCGGTTCTTCTGTGGATAATTAACAAAAAGGATATATTTAATGTCATTTGCCTTTACAAGTCATACAGATATTTCTATCAGTAAAAACTGGTCTTTATAATTTCAGATGTGACAGTGGGCTCTTTAATGTTCCTGAACAAAGTGTCTGTCTGTTCCATAAGTAAAATTTGAGATCCCACTTAACCTCATGTCCCCTCGTTTCAGATTCTGTTGTTTTCTGTTGCTGAGAAATCAGTAGTGTTCACGTAGTATGTTAAGTCGGCATACCTACGTTAAGTCAAACAAGGTTTTGTTTGAATCTGTTACTAATTACTATGGAGACAAGCGTAAACAGATTATAATTATGAGCTAAGCGTTGCAGAGGATTAGAAGATATTTAAGACTCTTAGATGTCTGAGAATTAGATCACTTGTACCTTAGATAATTTGAAGAATATCTTGCTTCCTAATCGCCTATTATTCTTTATTTATAGTATGATTGAAGACTTTTCAAGTTCAGAACATACCATTTCTCATTCGATCTGTGTAGATGTAAGTTCAGAGATCTCTAGGTAAGAATTTTTGCCTACTGTGCCATTATGAAATAATTGTTTTTACAAAGAAGTATGAAATCATGACTAGTGTACCATTTTGAAATAATTACTAAATGTTTTTTACTAAAAACTATGAGAGTAAAATGAAAGTAACGTGAAGCATTGAAAGAGCAACATAGGTACACATTTCTGAGGACTTTAAGCAAATTATTGAAAAATTTTCCTCTAACAATTGTGTTTTAAATACATACAAGAGCTATTTTAAAATCGTCTTTTCTGAAAAAAGAAGGAAGGTAGTGAATGTATTATTGAGTGTCGTTGCTCACTTTCAGCCTCTAACAGATTTTTTTTTTCCCATACAAAAATTTATACATACATTGTTATATGACCCTAATTGCTATCCCCATACTGTGACAGCACACTCCTCCTTTCCACCCGATTCCCCATGTCCATTCAGCCAGCTCCTAACCCTCTCTGCCTTCCCATCTCACCTCCAGACAGAAGCTGCATTTGTAGTCTCTTGTATCTACTTGAGGTAAGAGGCACACTCCTCACAAGCATCACTTTATGTCCCACAGTCCAGTCCAATCCCTATCTGAAGAGTTGGCTTTGGAAATTGTTTTAGTTCTGGACTGATAGAGAATCCAGGGGTCATGCTTTCTGGGATTCCTCCAGTCTCAGTCAGACCATTAAGTCTGGTCTTCTTACTAGAATTTGAGTTTTGCACCCCACCTTTCTCCTGCTCCATCAGGGACTCTCTGTTGTGTTCCCTGTCAGGGTGGTCATTGGTGGTAGCCGGGCACCATCTAGTTCTTCTGGTCTCAGGCTGATGAAGCCTCTGGTTTCTGTGGCCCTTTCTGTCTCTTGGGCTACTACTTTCCTTGTGTCTTTGGTGTTCTTCATTCTTCTTTACTCCTGGTGGTTGGGAACAATTGATGCACCTTAGATGGCCGCTTGCAAGCTTTTAAGACCCCAGATGCCACTCACCAAAGCATGATGCAGAACATTTTCTTAATAAGCTTTGTTATGCCAGTTGACCTAGATGTCCTGTGAAAGCATGGTCCCCAGACCCCTATCCCTGCAACTGTGTCCCTCAAAGTGTTTGATTGTATTCAGGAAACTTCTTAGCTTTGGTTTAGTCCAGTTGTGCTGACTTCCCCTGTAGTGAGTGCTGTCCTTGCTTTCACCTAAGATAATTCTTATCTACTATCTAGTTAGTAAATAACCCTCCCCACCCTTGTAACCATCAAAGAATGTTTTCTTCTGTGCACTAACAGATTTCTAATAATGTTTGTAATACTTTTAATTCTCTCATAGGACAGATTCATCCAGTTACGTTTTTTTTTTTCTTCTTTTTTTTTTGTACTTTAGGTGAAGGTTTACAGAACAAATAGTTTCTCAGTACACATATTGTTTTATGACATTGGTTAACAACCCCACGACATGTCAACCCTCTCCCTTCTCGACCTTTTTTTTTGGTGAAAATAGACATAGCCAAAGATACACCATTTCAAAAATTTCTACATGCACAGTTCAGTGACATTGATTACGTTCTTCCAGTTGTTCTGCTATTCTCACTTTAAATGAAGGTTTACAGAACAAAATAGTTTCTCATTAAACAGTTGGTATACATGTTGCCCTATGAAAATGGTTAACAACCCCACTACATGTCAACACTGTCCTTACTCAGCCTTGGGTTCCCTATCACCAGCTGTCCTGTCCCCTTCTGCCTTCTAGCCCTTGTCCCTGGACTGCTGTGCCTCATTAGTCCCATTTTGTTTTATGGGGCTGTCCTATCCCCGGCTGAATGGTGAACCTCGGAAGTGACTTAAACACTGTGCTTAAAGGGTGTCTGGGGGCCATACTCTCAGGGTTTCTCCAGTCTCTTTCAAGCCAGTAAATCTGGTCTTTTTTGTGTGTGTTAGAATTTTGTTCTACATCCTTCTCCAGCTCTGTCCAGAACCCTCTGTTGTGATCCCGGTCAGAGCAGTCAGTGGTGGTAGCTGGGCACCATCTAGCTGTAGTGGACTCAGTCTGGTGGAGGCCTTGGTAGCTGTGGTCCATTAGTCCTTTGGACTAATCTCAGTTATGTATTTTTACTTTCTTTTTCAGAAGTTGAACAGAGGTAAGGCAGCCTGAGTGTATAGTGTTTAGGAGTCTTGTTAAAATAGGAGGATAATATAATACAACTTTACATGAGAAAAATTCTACATAATTAATATTGATGTCCTTACTACTTAATGAAAGCAAAGCCCAATAAAGTTGTCTTAAAATACGCAGATCAGTTGTAATGCCTGTTTTTTTGTAGATTTGCTAAATAAAATTTCATTATTGAGCACATTGGATGCTCTATAAAAGGCAAATATTCCTGAAGGGTAATGAGTATAAACCCAAATAAATCTAAATGCAATTTAATATATTCCTTTATTTTTGGAAACGTAACAGTCAACTCATTTGACTCTGATATTTACCAGCCCCATTACTTAGTTTATGGAATTGGTTTGCTACTATGTTAAAGGAATCATTCCCACTACTGTTGAAAAAACAAATAAAAACTTGCTTTGATCTGTAATGTTTTTTTGAATAAGAATTTATTTTTCTTGTTAGGGTGTATTATAAATGTAAACTCTATGGTTTGTTTGGAAATACTATCTATTGTTTCATATTTGATGATGATCAGTAGTACTTTGCTCTGCCAATCCTAGAATAAAACATTTTTCACTCATTCATTCCCCATTTTTCCTAACTCTATTCTGGGTCACTAATTTCAGTCAAAAAAACTTACTCCCACATCAAATTACACAGTCTATACAGTTAATCCGAATGATTGTACAGGTCTCCAACACAGATACCTAGAAGCACCAGGCAAGTAAAATAAAAGCGTGAACCGTTCTAACACCACAGGGAGGTGACTGTGGTTGACTTGACAGTCTTAATGTAGACATTCAGGTGAAAAATTGTGTTGACTGACAAATGTGTCTAGTGGCTGATGAAGCCTATTCAGTAGAGAGATCAGCTCTAGGGTTTGTTTCCTATAAACCACCAGAGTAACCTTTAAATTAGAAGAAAAGAGTGAGTTCCAAATACACAGATCATATACATCTAATTTGTTATTTTGTTGATTAATGTGTGTTTTTTATTTATGTGCTTCCACATAGTGCACAGGTTTCTGCGTTTAAAGATAAATCTTCCTCAGTTCCACCTTTCATATCAAATGGAGTCAGTGTTGCTTCACAAACACCTGTTTTACCACCTCACAAGACCCAGAGAAATGAACCCAGGGCTCCATTACCAGATTCTTCAGATTCTGTTAGGCAGATGCTCCAAGATGAAATGTTTAAATTAGTTCAGGTGAGCATATTTCTATATAAACAAGCAAATCTACACATGGTATATGTAGGATTTTAAAATATCTAGTAGTAGACAACTGAAAATTAAATTGCTGGCGTTTTTCTGCTTTGGGGACTCTTCATTTGTCATTCAAAAGCTAATTCTAGTGCCTAGCATCTTCTCAAAATGACTTCTTTTAACTGAGATGTTTGGGATGCAGAGCTGCTCATGAAAGTGAGATGGTGGTGGTGGGGTACTAAACCCAGGCCAGTGGACTCCTGCTCAAAGGTATCCAAAGTTTATTTTTCTACCCGGGTGATCATGTCAGATTTCTTATCCTCAAATGAAATTTTGAGCTTGGTGTGAAACTGTCAACTGCATTTCAAAGTACTATTCACTTTGACTTCCGTCATCTTGTTCTTGCCTGGCTAGCTTTTTCTCTGTCTTCCAACAGTTTTTAATTTTCTTCCTTTTCTTTTTTATTCCTTAAACAGTAATTTCCCTCAAATCTAACCTTCTGCTAATTTGTTCTACATTCACTTCCCTGTCCTTTTTTTTTTTTTTTTCAGTTTTACTGTGGTAAAATATATCCATATCCTTTATGTGATATAGTGTACCATTTTTTTAAAATATTATTTTATTGTGCTTTCAGTGAAGGCTTATACAGTGGTGTAGGTTCCCGTTCAACAGTTTGTACACAAATTGTTCAGTGACATTGGTTACATTCTTCACAATGCATGAACATTCTCTTTATTTCCTTTCTGGTTGTTCCATTTCCGTTAATCTAATTTCCCTGTTCACTTTTGTTTTAAAGTAGTTGCTGATCATTTGGTCTCATATAGGTAATTTTTTTAAAGGAGCATAGTACTTATGGGTGATATTCCGTATTTTGTGAGCCACTATGTTATTTAGTTACAAGGTGATCTCAGGGTTTCGTTTCAGTTCAAGGTTTGAAGAGTATCTCAGGACAATAGTCTCAGAGAGTCCTCCAGTCTGGTTTTTTAATATTTTTTTTTTATTTTTTAGAAATTTGAGGTTCTGTTCCACATTTTTCTCCCACTCTATCAGAGTCCCTCTACTGTGGTCCTAATTAAAACGTGTAATACACCATTTTTATATGGTGACTTTTGGTACTTGTTTTCTCTTCAAACTTTCTCTTCAATACTTCTTCACCATGTCCACTGTCACATGAAACTTACCAGAACTGATTTATTCATATTCTCCCCAGTCCCTTCTTTCCCTTTCTTAGTTATTAGGACCTCCTGTTCTACCAACTTACTGTTTTATAAGCATTCTCAAAGTGTTACCTATGGATTACCTGAGGACTTGTTAAAATATGCCACCCTGTATATTTATCAAGTTCCCGAAGCAGTTCTGATGCTCATGAAAGATTAAGAATCACTGTCTTAAAGTCTTCTTTGCCTTTTTTCTCTACTCATATCCAATGTTTTACTATGCCCTGATTCTTTTGCCCAGAATTGCTATTTCTAGTCATATAGGCACTTGCTTTTTCTATAGCTGTAGCCAATCTTAGATTCTTAGGACTTCATGCTTTCATTTTATTTTTAATCTTTATTGAGGAATAATTTACATAAAATACAATTCACCAATTTTAAGTGGACACTGTGTTGATTTTTTTCTCCATTCTCCTCTTCCTACATATACTGGTAATCACCAGTCTTCTTTGGTCTTGATGGGTTTACCTATTCCAGATATTTCATATAGGTATGATTATACAACAACATATGGTTTTTCAACAACATACATGGCAGTTATACTCATGGACCTCATTGGATGGAATACACAGGAATCAAATCAACTACATGTGTGGAAAGAGATGATGGAGAAGCTCAGTATCATCAGTCAGAACAAGGCCAGTGGCCAAATGCAGAACAGACGATCAATTGCACATATGCAAGTTCAAGTTGAAACTGAAGAAAACTGAAAGAAGTCCACGAGAGCCAAAGTATGACCTTGTGTATATCCCACCTGAATTTAGAGACCACTCGAGAATAGATTTGACACATTGAATACTAATGACCAAAGACCAGACAAGTTGTGGAATGACATCAAGGACATCATACATGAAAAAAACAAAGAGTCATTAAATAGAAAAGAAAAAAAAGACCAAAATGGATGTCAAAAGAGACTCTGAAACTTGCTGTTGAACGTAGAGTAGCTCAAGTGAAAAGGAACAAATGATGAAGTAAAAGAGCTGAACAGAAGGTTTCAAAAGGAGGCTGGAGAAGACAGAGTAAGGTATTATAATGAAATGTGCAAAGACCTGGAGTTAGAATACCAAAAGGGAAGAACACGCTGGCATTTTTCAAGCAGAAAGAAATGAAGAAAAAATTCAACCCTCGAGTTGCAATACTGAAGGATTCTATGGGCAAATTATTGAATGATGCAGGAAACATCAAAAGAAGATGGAAGGAATACACAGAGTCACAGTACCAAGAAGAACTGGTTGACATTCAGCCATTTCAAGAGGTAGCATATGATCAAGAACCAATGGAACTGAAGGGAGAAGTCCAAGCTGCACTGGAGGCATTTGTGAAAAACAAGGCTCCAGGAATTGAGAAAATACTAATTGAAATGTTTCAGCAAACGGATGGTATGATGGAAATGCTCACTCATCTATGCCAAAAAATTTGGAAGACAGCTTCCTGATCCATATTTGTGCCAATTCCAAAGAAAGATGATCCAACAGAATGCAGAAATTATCAAACCATATCATTAATATCACATGCAAGTAAACTTTTGCTGAAGATAATTCAAAAATGGTTGCAGGAGTGTATCATCAGAGAACTGCAAGAAATTCAAGCTGGGTTCAGAAGAGGACATGGAACGAGGGTTATCATGCTAATGTCAGATGGAGCTTGACTGAAAGTAGAGAATACCAGAAAGATGTTTACCTGTGTTTTATTGACTATACAAAGGCATTCAACTGTGTGTGGATCATAACAAATTATAGATAACATTGCAAAGAATGGAAATTCCAGAACACTTAATTGTGCTCATCAGGAACCTGTACATAGACCAAAAGGCAGTCGTTCCAACAGAACAAGGGGATACTGCATGGTTTAAAATCAGAAAACGTGTGTCAGGGTTGTATCCTTTCACCATACTTATTCAATCTGTATGCTGAGCAAATAATCCAAGAAGCAGGACTATAAGAAGAAGAATAAGGGATCAGGATTGGAGGAAAACTCATTAACAGCCTGCAGTGTGCAGATGACACAACCTTGCTTGCTGAAAGTGAAGAGGACTTGAAGATGAGGGTCAAAGACTACACCCTTCAGTATGGATTATGCGTTAACATAAAACAAGAATCCTCACAATGGGACCAATCATGATAAACGTAGAAAATGCTGATGTTGTCAAGGATTTCATTTTACTTGGTTCCACAGTGAATGTTCATGGAAACAGCAGTCGAGAAGTCAAATGACATATTGCAATGGGAAAATCTGCTGTAAAAGACCTCTTTAAAGTATTAAAAAGCAAAAGGCTTGTTTTGAGGACTAAGGTGCACCTGACGCAAGCCATGATATTTTCAATCGCCTCACATGCTTGTGGAAGCTGGACAATGAATAAGGAAGACCGAAGAAGAATTGATGCATTTGAATGATGGTTTTGGTGAAGAATTGATGCATTTGAATGATGGTTTTGGTGAAGAATTGATGCATTTGAATTATGGTTTTGGTGAAGAATAGCAAATATACCATGGATTGCCAGAAGAACGAACAAATCTGTCTTGGAAGAAATACAGCCAGAATGCTCCTTAGAAGCAGGATGGCGAGACTTTGTCTTACATACTTTGGACATGTTATCAGGAAAGATCAGTCCCTGGAGAAGGACATCATGCTTGGTAGAGAGGATCAGCAAAAAAGAAGACCACCAACAAGATGGATTGACACAGTGGCTGCAGCAATGAGCTGAAACATAGCAATGATGGTGAGGATGGCGCAGGACTGGGTAGCATCTCGTTCTGTTATACACGGTGTTGCTATGAGTTGGAAGTGGCTCATGGCACCTGAGAACAACAAGGATCATACAACATTTGCCTTTTTTGCATGTGTGTCTGGCTTATTTCACTTAGAATAATTTCAAGGTTCACCCATGTGGTGGCATGTCTTCTATTGTCTTTTGCTCTAAAATTTATTGTATGTACATTTTCTAGGACATTCTTCTTCATATATTGTTTTGATGTTATCCTTCTCTCATTCAGTAAATTTCAGGTACAACTTTGTCTACTATATGATGTCAGTCTTGTTTTAAAAATACAGTTTGGAAGGAAATGCACTAAAGTGTCAATACTAGTTGTCTCTGGCAATAGGAGTATGATTTTTTTTTATATGTCTGTTTTTTTTCTGTAATAAGCATGTGTTTCCTTTATAATTTTTAATCTGCAGTGTTTCCCTATTGGTCAACCTATTAAAATGCAAATTCTTCTGTTGGTCTTTTCTTCCATTGCCCCCCCACACAAGTTCAGTGATTCTCAAAGTGTGGTCCCTGGACCAGTAGCATCAACAATCACTTATATGTTAGAAATACAAATTTTCAGGCCCCACCCCAGACCTGTTAAAACAGAAACTCTGGGGATGGGGCTCAGCAAAAAGTGGTTTAACAAGTCCTCCAGGTGATTCTGATGAATGCCAGAGTTTGACAATTGCACTAGTCTACTCATTGTCCTTGCTATAAATCGTCTTTGCTAGCCAATGTGTATGCTAGTAGTTCCCAAGCTTTTCTGCACATTGAAATTGCCTAGACATCTTTAAAAACTACTGAACCTGCTCCCATCCCCAGACATTCTGCTATTAATGATATGGGGTGTGACCTGGCTGTGGGATTTTTTAAAAGGTCCTCAGGCGATTCTAATGTGCAGCAAGTTTTGGAGCCACTGGTGTTACCTTTGCCTTTTATTCAGCCAAGGGAAGTCCTTGCCCTTCACCTGTTTGCTACTCTCTGCTCTTTTCCTTCTTGAAAATCGTTAAAAACACATCCATTCTAATAAGAATACTTTTTTGATTATCCTCACCTTCCTCTGTCAGGTCACTCCTTTGGGATGTTTCTGTTTACAGCTTTATAAATCAAGTCTCATTCATTAGTTAGTGTTCATATTCTTAGCTGACAGCTCCCAAAGGCAGGAAGCTATTCTTTTTTTTCTTTTTTAATTCTCTCCTACTGCTTAGCATTTATGAGTCTGACAGTTACTGAGACAAAAGTATTACTTTTGTGGAATACTCAGATGGCTATTGCTTCCTTAGATTCTTTTCATTATATTTTAAGATTTTTAATTTTTGTTTTATTCTAGCTGCAGCAGATCAACTTCATGAGCCTAATGCAGATTGTAGGGTCATCCTTTGCTAACCTCTCGAATAGTCACCAGCTGGTACAGCAGTCTCAGTCTGTGCATTTGGTGGGAAGCCAAGTGTCAAACCCCGTAAGAGGCAGTGGTGATGTTGAAGACACCAGTGGAAATCTCAAGGACAGATTTTTCATTAAACCACGATCCACGGGAGAGTATACCAGAGAGTCTGGCAAGACCAGCCCACGCTGCCATAAAGGAATTGCCCAGTCTGATCAAAGCAGTAATGGAAATATACAGGTAATACATATAAAAATACCATCAAAGTTGTCCTAGTAGTTCAACTTGTTGGGGTTTTGTTATTTGATTTAATTTTTTTTTAGCACTTATTACCTTCTAACCCCCTCCCAAAGACACACTGAACATCATTTATATAAAATAAGACATCTGTAATATATATATTTTAAACTTACATGATATCTTTTATTTCTCTTCCAGGATGTTCCACATGAAAGTATTCCTTTATGTCATTTAGAAGGCCAACACCAGAATAGAGGACTAACTCCAGCACTTCAAAACTTACCACCCACTTCACTGTCTGCAGCCCCTGCTGCAAATACTCACTTCCACCTTTTGTCCACATCTTCTGCCATTCAGAAGATACCTAAACTTATCCCAGCTGCAAAAACTTTCAGTCCTGGTGATGGTTTTCCTTTGCTTCATTTTCAACCTAAGTGTGAATTCAAGCCCCTTTCCTTATCTACTGGAAGAGTTCCACAAGTTCCCTTCAGGCCTCTGCCACAACCAAGAGAGGCTTGGGGATTATCTGATTCCTTCCAGTCTCCTTTACCACAGAGAGAAAGGCATACTACTTCAATTTCCCATTTGAATTTGAGCCAGTATGATACTGAAGCCGTAAATAAAGCCACTGAGCAGAAGAAATGGGCAGAAACTGTAACTGCAGAAATTCCTACGCATCTGAACATGGATCAGTATGTTGGACAAGAAAACTTGACACCTCAACGGGACTCAATATTTATAAAACCAGAAAAACTATTTGAGGTTAAGCAAGGGCCCCTTGAGATATCGCCTCAGAATTCCTTTGGACTTCCATTATTGCACCTGCAGTTTAAACCTCCTTATATGTTTTCATCTGCCTCGAGAGCATCAGTTACAGTTCCCTCAAAGCCTGTCAGAATGGTAGCAGAAGAAAGAAAATACTCAAGTCTATCGTTACTTCATTCATGCCTATCCCCAGAAAATATGGTAATGAATTTTTGCAGGGTGATGTAAAATCAGAGTCCTGCATTTTTCATACCATAAATAGTATGTGTTCATTGAAAAGCCCTTGCACATTTCCTTTTTTAAAAGAATGCTTCCGTTATAGGAACTAATACATAAAAATTGGTTTAAAATTATAATTGGGTATAATTAAAGGTTTTGGGTCTTTCTTATACATCAATACCAGAATTTACTGGCCTCTTTTATTGATACTCCTCTGCTCAAAGAATAAATAAGATGGAAAATAAAATTGGGTATCCTTGGGTGATGCAAACAGTTAAGTGCTTGCCTGCTAATCAAAAGGATGGTAGTTTGAGTCCACTAGAGGAGTGTCAGAAGAAAGGCCTAGCAATCTACTTCTGAAAGATTAGCAATTGAAAACCCTGTGGAGCACAGTTCTACTCTGACACACGTGGGGTCGCCATAAGCTGGAATCGACTTGATGGCAAATGGTTTTGTTTTGGTTTAAAATAAAATTTTCAAGTGGTTTTCTTATCGTGTGTATGTGTGTGCATGCACCTTCACATGCACACACATATATAAAGACAGAATTTGAGGTTCCTAGCAGTTGTGATGTGATCGTATTCAAATCTGTTAAGGTTAAAATTGTTAAACAGACCCGGGTCTACCAGTAGTTGTGCATGTAATAAAATGGTAGCTTTTTAAAGTACTTAAAACACAAAGACTGAATTTTTTTAAACCTACCACATCCTCTGTAAAGATGTAACTGTGATTTGTGAAATTCAAATTGTTTAGGTTCTAATTTTGTAGGTGACTGTATGCTGTTGTAGGGAGATAATTGAGTAATTCGTTCTCTGGTGTACTTTTAATATTTGAAGTGGGTACTGGGGGAAGATGGTCATTCCTTAGAAAAGATATTTACTGTATTTTCTTTGCTTCTGAACATATTCTGAATGGAAGAAGAAAGGACTAAAAGAGTGGAGAAGTAGACATTTGGAGAAGGATTTAGAATAGTATAATGAACCTCCAGGTTACATCATCCAACTTCAGCAGTTACCAGCATATTGCTAATCTTTTTTATCTATTTAGTCCACACCCCTGTGCATCCTCCCCTTTTCAAATAATTTAAAATCAATTGCTGTACATTATTTCATTTGTAATTATAAGAAGGTTTTTTTTTTTTGAACATTTTATTGTTGTTTAGCTGAAATTTAACAGAGCAGATTAGTTTTCCATTCAGCAATTTATACACAGCTTGTTTTGTGACATTGGTTTCAAATGGCTGAATGTGTCAGCACTCTTCCCCCTTCCTCCCTGGGTTCCCTGTATCCACTTGCCCAGCTTTCCTGCCCCTACCGTACTTCTGAACTTTGCTTTTGGGCAAATGCTGCCCTTTTGGTCTCGTAAAGTTGATTGTTTTAAGGTGTACATTCCTCACTGGTGTTATTCATTCTATAGACCTGATTATTGTATAGCTATAATGCGATCTCTGGGAGGTGATTTCAGTTCCAGTTTTGAAGGCTAAGAACCATAACCTCGGGGGTTCCACCCATCTCTATCAGACCAGTAAGTCTCGTCTTATTTATAAGTTTGAATTTTGTTCTACATTTCTCTCCTGCTATGTCCATGACCTACTGTTGTGATCCCAGTCAGAGTGGTTGGTAGTTGTAGCCAGCCACCATCTAGTTCTGGTCTCAGGCTAGTGGAGACGTGATTCATATAGTCCATTAGTCCTATGGACTGATTGTTTCCTTGAGTCTTTGGTTTTCTTCACTCTTCTTTGCTCCAGACGGGAAGAGACCAATAGTTATATCTTAGATGGCTGCTCACAAGCTTTTAAGACCCCAGTTGCTACTCACCAAGGTAGGATGTAGAACACTGTCTGTATGGATTTTCATATGCCAGTTGACCTAGATGTTCTCTGAGACTATGGTCCCTAGCCCTCAAGCCTAGTATCTCAGTCCTTGGAGGTATATGTTTATGGCTAAGAAGTTTTCATGACTGTGTCCCCTGTGCCACTGTTGCATACAGGGTATATTTGCAGCATGTATGCATATATATGTACGTGAGTATATTTCCATATGCCCTCCCACCCCTCTTCAGCTTACATATCTACCTATGTATCCACTCATACATTATTGTTTGTTATTACTGTTGTTGCAGGATTGTATATGTGTTAGTATTTACCGTTATTGCCTTTTACTCTTGCTTACCTTTCAGTGTCTTCCTTTACCTTGATTATGTTGTGCTGACTTCCTGCATGTTGTGTATTATCTCTCCCTTCACCGATGTTAGTATGTGTGTACTATCTAGTTAGTAATTTTCCCTCCGCCTGCCCATCCCTGGTAACCATCTAAGAATGTTTCTGTCTGTATGAAAACTTTTTCTTTACTTTTTATAATAGTGGTCTCATACATTATTTGTCCTTTTGCGATGGACTTATTTCACTCAGCATAATGTCCTCCAGGTTCACCCATGTTGTGAGGTGTTTCGCGGATTTGATGTTATTCTTTAACATTGTGTAGTTTTCCATTGTATGTATGTACCACAATTTGTTTATCCATTCGTCTGCTGATGGGCACTGAGGTTGTTTCCATCTTTTTGCTATTGTAAATAATGCTGTAATGAACGTGGGTGTGCATATGTCTATTCATGTGACGGCTCTTATTTCCCTAGGGTATATACCTAGGAGTGGGATTGCTGGATCATGTGGTATTTCTATTTCTAGCTTTTGGAGGAAGTATATAATTTTTCATAGTGGTTGTACCATTTTACATTCCTACCAGCAGTATATGAGAGTTCCAGTCTCCCCACAGCCTCTCCAACGTTTGTTGTTTTCTGTTTCTTTGATCAGTGCCATTGTTACCGGTTTGAGATGGTATCTCATTATAGTTTTTTTTTTTTTTTTAATATTTTATTGTACTTCAGGTGAAGGCTTACAGAACAGATAGTTTCTCATGTAACAGTAACACACATGCTGTTTTATGACATTGGT